TATACGTGAGCCGATTCAGTGCTTTCAACTTTATATTTGGTACTTTAATTAGAATGAGGCATTATTGATGGATAGATCTCGGACCAGGCTTCATTCCCCCCAATATCCATAGCTTCCTTCCTCTACTAATATTAACCTCCTCCATGACAACTGCATCACCATCGCCATCCGTCTCGTGGTAACCAACTTCTTTCTCTCTTCCTTTATTTCCTTTTTTTTAATTATCTCCTCATAATGTGATCTAACTACTACTTGTATGTTAGTTCAATTTCCCCCCCTTTTTTTGTTTTTGTTTTTTTTTGAAGGATTTGATTCTTTGGTTGAGGTATTCGGTGCAGATTGGTGTGATGATGAGGGTTTTTGACTCAAATGTGATGCTGCTGACGACCACGGCCATCATGATTACGGAAAAAGGCCTTCATCATTACCTCTACAGGCAGTTTTTTTTTTTCGCTTTCAGCTTCTTTTCTTTTTTCACTAAATATTTTATTTTATTTTACTTCACCTTTTCTTCTGGTTTTCAAAAGATACTCCATGCCCTTAATGTTTGCCTAATACATACATATGGTCTTTAGATGGTAATATATGACAGAAAACACTACTGACACACTCTCAACCACACCTTGGGACACACCCGCTCTCTCAGCTACAGTACACGGGCTCATTTTAGATTTTTTTTTTAAAAATCTAAAGTGGGCCCGAGAGGAGTGTAACCCAAGATGTGGTTGGAGCGTTAATACAGATTATTTAAGTATATTTATTAGCGAGTAAAGCAATACTTGATTTCAAACATGAAATGCTAATAAGGGCCTATTAATTTCCATAAAATTAACTTTCCCCTTTTCAACACAGAGCTCAAGTGTGCCACCGCCTCCTTCTATGTATAGCCTCTATTTTTCCCAATTAAAATTATGGAGTACTAGCCAGTTAAATTTGATTTGAACTATTTGATATATATGCTCAAAACATCCGTGGATACTTACCATTTGTCACAAAATCAGCAACCGCAATCTCTTTGTAATGCTAGATTCACACCGAATAAAACCATCAAAAGATTGTAGCTGCATGTGTGATCGATCTTATGTGTTTCCTGTGATTATCTTCTAATGTGCTTGTACGTGTTCTAATCAGAGAGGCTAGCTATTACGTATATATGATTGCTTTTGGTGAAAAATCTACGCTTTTCAAGTTAAATCTGGAGCATGGGAAATAATTTTTTTTTTTTTTTTTTGGTATGCTGAGTTTAACATGATACTCTAGCTAATTTGGAAATGATCATTATTTCAGCTAGCTAGATATTTTTTGTTTAATGAAATATTTATGGAAGAGAATTTGGTCGTTAGGATCCGGGCTTAAGCGATAGCATTGGTTACATAAACAAATAACTCCTCCTTGATCTTCACGCTCTGATCTATCATGATACACGCTTACCGTTGTTGTTTATGATCTAATTATTTGGTCAAGTGATAATGCCTCAGAAGATTGTATCCAGCAGCCTCATTCCAAGATATTCTCTTGATTTCGCTAATCTACATTTCCAATTGATCAAATTGCAAACATTTTTCAATCTAGTTAGCCGAGATGACGTGTCTTCCGCGTTTACTCAAGGTTTTGTATAGCAATTTCTATTTCTTTACTCATCAATTATTCAGAAAGAGTTCCAGTCTTCCTTCTCTATGGTTTTAGTTGAATATATAGGAAGGATGACGATCGAGAGAGTACACGAGAAAACAGCTCAGATGAGAAAGAGAGTATATTCTCACGTAAGCTAGGTTCCATGCTATGTGAAATTAATATGAGCAAATAATCTGAATCAGTAAACTTAAAAAAGGAAAAGAAAGAAAAGAAAAAGAAAAAGGAAGGGGAAAAAAAAAGGAACGAAAGAGCAATTAGAATTGCGTAATTGACACGTTTCAAACCCTATACGAACGTCACAGTAGTATCCCATCCATCTCCCATCAATCACCGACACTACTGCTCCTTCCCTTTTATTTTTCTTTTTTCTTTTTTCGTTTTTATTTTTTAACACACCCTTTCTCTAATTTTATACCACGTATACGTACCATTTCAAATGTATTTACTATTTACGTGAAGAAATCTTGTTACATCTACGAATAAGCGCTGCCACTTTTTTCTTCAGAAATTAAAGAGGAAATAAACTCATTTGTTTGCCCAAATGCGCAATAACAAAAGTTAGTTGCTAAGGTAATGTCTCTGACTTATGTAATTAAAGTTTAAATTATTGTTATTATTGAGAACTTGCGTTGATTTGAGGGTGAACAGTGTGAACAGTGCATTAAAGTTGGAAACTCCTTTTTGGAATGAAGTGTTCAGAATTGACCCTGGGGACCCCCCCACCCCACCGGGATATAAGACTTTTCACAAATTTGAAAACATTCTCGTTGAAAAGTTTTCTTTTTAAAAGTGTGATGATTTGAGTTTGAAATGGTCACTGCTTCAGTTCTTTCACTCCTCCAAAGCGCAGGGAAAGAAAAGCCGCTACCACCCTCGGTTGTGAAACTTGTGCTTTAATTAAACAGGGCTTTGTTATTGATGTGATAACGGACCAAGCTAAGCTCGTGGGCCATTGAATGGGGATTGAGTTTGACTTGTCCATTCATTAAACCAAATAATAAAAAAAAGGAAAATGTCCTTTGAGAGTGGTTAATAAGATTAGACCAGCTTATTTGGGTCACGGTGAAGGATTTGGGGAATGGTGAAATTAAGTCCGGAGACCAGGGCTTTAGCTTTTCAGACTACTACTGCATCCTATCGTGAGCTTTTGGTACCCTCCTTGGTTTCCTACAAAAGTACCGCAACAAACTATTTATTGACAAGGATGTTCATTCAGGCCCAGAGCAAACGGGGCCCAGTGGGACCAGTCCGCAGGTCCTTGAATAGGCCCATCTGAACATGCTCAAGATTGGGCGCTGTTCTTTGACCTTTCGTGACGCACGGGTTGCGTCAGGGGTGGTCACGGATCAAAGCTGTCAAGAAGGCATAAAACCCAAGCCCAAACAAGCGAGAGGCCCATTTACAATCAGAGCCTAACAACTGCATTTATATGATTTATTGTTGTCCCGGACCTGGGATTGACCATGAAGTCCCTCTTTAAGCATCACCTTAAGCATCATGATGCAATGACAAATAACCTTAACATAGTATCAGAGAAAACTAGATCCAAATCTCATCAACAACCTTAGAAAAATATATTCTCATCAATTTAACTAGAGACTGTTGTCTCAATAAATAATAGCCTGGTTAAAATATATTTATTATATTTATCGTCAATTTTAGTTTTTAGTACCTGTTTGCCACCTTTACATGATCTAAAAATAAATAAATAAAAAGACACCGAAGCCTTTTTAAATACTAAAGGAGTAAACATGGTTAGCTGAAATACCAATTTGATAGCTTAGCCATTTACTAAGACTAAAATGGGCTGACATTTAGGCTTGAGATTTAATGGGCCTAGAGAAGGTATGAAAGCAGCAGCCCCTTTAGGCTTGCGATTTAATGGGCCTAGAGAAGGTATGAAAGCAAAGGCTGCAGTTATGAATTCTACTGGTAAAACCAAAGGATGGCTGATCCATAGCCATACTAGTGCAATTGAAGCGGCTGAAGGTGCCTTCAATCTTCGTTCGCGCATTGATTTCGATGGAAGCAGTTTATATGTGATGCAGGTGGTACATGCTCTCCATAAATCAGCAGTAATTTGTGACCAGTCAACAACCATCATCTACACATGGCTTTGCTATCATTGGAAGAAGGACCACACATTTTCATGCCCTTTCAATTCCAAAACTATGTACCCACCTTTCTCAACGGCAATCTATAAATACAATCCAACACAGAAATTATTTTCTCCTTTTCTTCAAAAAGAAAAAAAAAAGAAAAAAAAAAGAAAAAATAAAGAAAGGATAAGGCCACTAATTTTACGTTAAAGGGAGGATGAGTATGCAAGAGTAGGGTAGGAAGTTATGTTTAAAAGAAAACCACTTAAAAGTTATCGGAGGATCATACCACTACATTAAAACTCAAAAACTATGATGATAATTGAAGATTAAAATATTATATTCTAACATCTCTTCTCAAGTTGAGGTTCTATTTATAAACCAAAAAATGGACTAACGAAGTAGTTTTTTTATTATTCCATTTTAATAATTTATTGCCAGCAAAATTTAAATACGGATTAGTTTAATATTATGTTAAAGGACATGTCACTATATCAAAACTCTAAAGCCATGCGAGGTTTCAAATTTAAAATTTGATATGAGATTTAAGAGTTATAATTTTATATTCTAACACAGATGTTAATGAATCTCACGAAAAACCATTTGCCGTAACAATGGAAATGCTTCAATTTTAGGTTATCTTACTCCAACATGATTCAATTATTTAATTTTCCTTTCCATTTTTTCAATTAATTATAATATGAGCATATGACATGCACACAGGCGTCGGCCGTGCCCATAGCCTTTGGCAAGTCCTCACTGGGTGCTGCACTGTTCATGAACATTGCAGCATCCAGTGGGGGCTTGCCACCTTACCTGTCCCCTACAGGGTCCCCTCATTTGGGGTCCCTAGGGCGTTTTCCAATACACAAAGATTCACAAGGACTGTAATTGTGTTAGAATTATTATATTAAATTGATAAATTATATTTAACTTAATTCTAAATGACCCATCTAAACGTACAAAGAATTTCACTATATCACGTAGCGTAGGGACGCGATGATCGTGCGTAATGTAAGTAGAATTTCTTTTTCCTAATACCTGAGTTATTTCACTTGATCTTTAAGATACCGTTTGGCAAATGGTTAAGTAAGGGGGTTAAGGAGACTTAATCTCTTATTAACCTGTCAAACTCAAAAAGTCTATATAAGGGTTAAAGTGAGTTAACACTCTATAATTTGCCAAACACAAAATATATAGAAATGTTAAGCTAAACCTTCTAAAGAGATTAAAATGAGTTAACCCTTCAAAATGAGTGGTTTACTAATACTCCTATATAGAAGGATTAAGAGCTAACCGTTCTAATTATAAAGAAAATAGTCGAAATCCTTGTTATTCTCAAACACTAAAAATGATCATAAGAGTTAAAATAAAACTTATATAACGGGTTAATAATTTAGTCCTTCACATGTTAATCCTTCTTTTTAATTCCTTTTCATTAACCTTTTGTCAAACGAGACCTTATTTATTTATATGTCACCCTGCCCTCGTATGTCTGCTGCCACCCCCCAAACCCCACCCCACCCCACCCCACCCCTTCTCTCTGAATCTCTGATTCGATGGAGATAACTACGAAGACAACTATCCTCGTTGTAGCAATACTACAATTCTCCCTCTTCTCCATCTCCGAGAGCCAGAGCGACAAGCCCGGCCAATGGAAGCTCCTAAAGCGCAGCCTCGGCATCTCAGCAATGCACATGCAACTCCTCCCCAGCGGCAAAATCGTCGCCTTTGACCGCACCGAAGCGGGTCCTTCCAACATCTCCCTCCCCTCCGGAAAGTGCCTCCGCCTCTCCAACCGCACCGAGTG